CACACCAGCGGGCAAACACCCTCCTAGGCCTCACTCTGTGCTGGGCTCTGGGGCAGGGAAGGAGAGGGACACAGGGATACAGGACTGACACTTCCCCGCCTGTGTGGAACCTAGCGTAGAGGGGAAGGCGCAGGTAGAGCAGGTAGTGACAGATAACTGAGGAACAGTGTGCGGGCTAGAAAGCAGCAGACGGGAGAGCCACGGGAGCGCTCACGAAACAGGGCTTTAGAGGTGGGCCTCACTGAGGAAGCTCAAAGGCTGAAGGAAGGTCAGTGAGGAAGAGGAGGAACAGGGAGGTGTCCTAGGTGGAGGAACTGCACAAGCAGGGCCCTGGGGCAGGAAGGACCAAACTGTTGACGAGACCAGTGAAAGCCTGAACCTGGAGGGCAGAGGCCAGATAAGGCTTTGGGGCTTCCTAGCGGCAAGGAGAGATTCCTCGGAAGAGTTTTAAGCAGAAGAGGAATAAGATCGGAGACCTGCATCGATACCACTCTGGCATCAGCAGGAAGCAGCAGGAGAGATCCCGAGCCCTCCCTTCCTCCCTCCCAGCGCCGCAACCCCATTCCCTCCCACCTGAGCCTCTGACCTGCGTCTTCCTGGAGACTGGAAAACCACAGCTCCAACTGCTTAGTGCTGGGGGAGAAAGGAAAGAACAGAAGCTCAGGGTTGGCAGATGAGACTGGGAGACAGGAGTCCTTCTCTGGGGACATGAGGCACTACTACCGTGTCCCCACTCATGAGGCCACTGCGCTCCCCAGGTCATGCGAGGGGCAGTGGGAAGAAGGCCACTCACTTGAGGAGGCCCAGGATAAAGGCATGGAAGCGGCTACGGCTGCTGCTCAGCGGGGCCAGACGGCTGACCTGGCTATACAGGGTTCCGAGGGAGCGGGTGCTGGAGCCTGGGGACAGGGGTTGCAGTCAGCCAGGCTCCGGCCCTGGCCCCAGCTGGTCCCAGCCCTGCCGGCTCACCTGGCTTCACCGACGCCTCCACCACGCTCCAGGGGCTGCTCCTGCGCTGCCCGGTGATGAGGTCCTTCTGGAAAGGCTTCAGCCCATCCGCCACCAGGGCGTGGAGCGCCGGGCAGAGGGTGGTCAGCACCAGGTGCCCCACGTCGGGGCTCAGCCGGCTATCCCCCAACTGGGCCTGGAGGCGGCGCGACGCGGGTGTGTGCACAGATCCCTCCAGCCACCTCCCACCAACTGTTCCTGCGCCCTCGGAGCTACATTAACCTCCTCATCCCCAACGTCCCCCCCCAGCCACCTTCACCTTCTGAACCAAGTTGCGGGCGGCCCCGAAGTGCGAGATGATTTTATCCACTGAGGCGCTGACAGCTATCAGGAGACCTGCGGGCGGGGAGGGGAAGGCGCCTCAGAGCTCCGACTCCCCCCGGCGGACCAAGGACGCGGACAGACCGCTTCGTGCAGTTCGACAGTTCGACTCGCACCGCCTGACAGAGGAGGGCCTAAGTGAGGGGCAGTTCGTTCAGAAGCCAGGAGTCAGGGCGTCCTACCTTTTTTCTGCTCCTGTAGCTGGCCAGTCCCCCTCCGGGCTTCTGCCATCCACATCCGCTGGGCCCCGGGGACACCGGCGAACGACCAAGAACTACGGACTAGGGTAAGGAAAGAAGCACGCGGTGACAAGGGGTTACTCCAAGGACTCCGGGCTCCCGCACAGGTCATCTCCTGCGGGTCCGCAGCCCCCCTGCCCCTGAAGGGTCTTGAAGAGGGGCGCGGGGCCGCGTGCAGCACCGGGCAGCCCGACCCGGGCTCCCGCGCGAAACCCTACACACATTGCCGCACTCGCTGTCCCCATCCCCGGTCCCCATTTCCCTTCCTCAGCGTCCAGCTCCCACCTCCTCGATCCCGGAAGTCCCGGAGCGGGACCGCCTCGCTCACCTCCCGCCTGCCCCGCAGGGCCCTTTAGGGCAAGAGATGCCCGGGCGAGGGGAGGGAGGGGCCGCCCTGCGCCCCGCCCCGGGCCCGCGTCCGGCCCGCGGAGACCCGGGGAGCACGTGGGGAGCCTGGACCAATGGAAAGACAGACAGACGGAAAAGGGAGGAGAGACGGAGGGAGGCAAGACCCAAGGATTGGGAGGCTGGAAAGCGCCGGAAAGGGGAAACCTGGGTCCCACGCCCGCATCTCGGTGGAGGGAGCCCCCTTCACCCCACGTGGGGCGGGACTCATGGGGATGGGAGTCACCGGAACCTCTGGTGCCAGTGAGTTCCAGGGAGCTTCACCCTCCACCCTTCCCGAGCAAGGTGGGGGTCAGGCCCGTACTGCACTGGCCAAGGAATTCCACAAAGGGTGTGACCCAAGGGCCCTAACAATGGACTCGCTGGGACCCTCTAGACTCAGCATGCTTAGCGGGGATGCTGGATAAGCCCGCGTCCACTGTGCCCGGGGAGGGCCCGGAGGGAGAGGGGCCGGGTCACGCAGCGTGGGGAGCAACAACACCCGCCCCCCCTGCACGAGGGCCAAGGCCAGGCTCCCTAGGACCAATGATTTTGCTCGGAATCTGCCGAAGTTGAATGGTGGGACCAAGCCGGTAACCCCGGAAAAAAGCTTAAACAGAGCTGGGCGAGGGTAGAAAGGGCCTTGGAGTGGGCGGGGAGGCCTCGCCCGAGGCGAGGCCCGCGGGGCTTGCCCGGTCCGTCTTACGTAGCCTGGGCGGAGGCGGTGGGCTCCTGATCCAGCGAGGGGCCTTCGGCGGACGAGGTGGCGGTGGCAGCGGGGGGGCGGGTACCTGGCGGGGTGGGGGAGCCGTGGCGGGGAAGGTGCTACTTCTGGGAAAGAGCGGGGACAGCAGCAGTGCCAGCTCGGGGCTGGCCAGGCAGGGCAGGGCTCCCCGAGTCGGAGGTGAATAGGCTCCCACCGGGGACAGGCGGACAGGCAGCAGCTGCTCCTCTGGGGGGCTTGGCGCCCCCAGCAGCCGCAGCCCGGCGCCCGGCCATGCAGCCAGAGGCGCCAGGAGCAGAGACCCCGCTGCGCCCGCACCCCCACCCTCCAACAGGGGGCGCCCGTCGGCCGAGAACCGGAAAAACAGAGGCCGAGGGAGCAGGAGGGGACTGGCTGCAGGCGGGATTGGCGGGGCCAGGCGCAGAGGGGAAGGAGGGCAGCGGGATGAGCAGCCAGGCAAGGAGGGGCGGGAGAAAGAGGGAGCAAAGAGTTAGTCCCGTAACCCAACGACCCACCCAGTTTCCCTTTCCCGGAGCTCTCCCTGGCAGAAGGGGCGGGGAGGATGGCTGACACAGAATGGAGGGGAGACGGGGACCGGGTTGGAAGCTGTGGAGGTGGGGGCGAGGCCGAAGCCCAGCCCTCCTCCTGCTTCTCGCTGCCTCTTACCCTCGAGACCAGCCTGCGCACTGGGTTCCTCCGGCTCCTTCGCGGCTGGCGCTTCCTGGCCAGCCGCGGGGCTGACCGCCCTGCCCTCCTCCAGCTGCCCCTCCGCTATGGGCTGCAGCCCAGGTCGGTTCTTCTTCCTCCGGGGAGGGATGGGTGGAGGTGGGGGCCGGGGCGGGACCAAAGCCCAGCCAGCTGGGGGGTCTCGAGGCGGGACTGGCGGGGGCGGAACCCGGCTTCGGGACCGGAGTTCTTTGAAGGTAGTGATTTCCCGGGCAGGTGCCGAGGAGCTGCCCAGCGACCCGGTGGGGGGCAGCTCCGTATCTGGCGAGAAGACTATGAGCCAGTCGCTGCGATCTTTCTTGGCCTGGGGCAGGAGGGGCAGCCCCGGGCCCCGCTTGCGCTTCTGGGCCAGCTCGTGGAAGGACGTGATTGTCCGGTGGGGCACCGGCTCCTCGCTGACGTCACTTCTCCATCCCCCATCAATTTTCCCTGCATTTGTTTTCGAGCCAGAATCATTTATTCCTGTGTTGGTTTTCCAACCAGAGCTGACTTTTCCAGGTTCGGTTTTCCAGCTAGAGTTAGTATGTTCGTTGATTTTCCAGCCAGAGTTATTGTTCTCAGTGATTTTCCATCCAGCGTCAGTTTTCTCTGTGTCAATTTTCCAAATGGGGTTAATTTTCCAACTGGGTTCCGTTTTCCCAGCATCGATTTTCCCATCATCCACCTCTAAGAGCTCGGAGGTAGGGAGGTCCTGCTCCCCACTCTCATCCTCTTCCTCTAGGCCTGGGGAAGGGAGGTCCTGGCAGGTGGTCAGGGTGTTGCAGTTCGAGTCCAGACCAGGGCCCGGTGGTGAGGAAGCTCCGGAGCAGGAATCGGGAGAGCAGCAGAAGCTGTCCGGGGAGCAGGTGCCAGGGCCTTCCGAAGCCAATGGGGAGCCCTGCTCCAGGGGGATGATACTGGGCTGAGGATGGGCTTCCTCATCACCTGGGAGGTCCCGCGAGTAGACGGAGACTGGGGACTCATCAGGGCTAAGATCTGAGCAGGAGCTGAGAGAGGAGGAGCAGCCAGGGTCTGAGGGAGAGGCAGCCCCCTCCTCCTCCTGCGATGGGTCCTGCCGGTTTTCTAGGCCTGGCCCATGCTCCTGGCAGCATCGGCAGGGCACGGCTGGGCTGTTGGAATTAGCGTCCACCAGAGGCCCACTGCAGGGGCCCCTGCTCTCCTTGCCCCCAGTGTCTCCTGGGGGAGGGGGCGTGCTCAAGGGCCCCTCCCGTAGCTCGGGACGGCGGGACAAGTGCAGGCCCAGGGAGACGTGCTGGAGGTGGATATGGTTGAGGTTGCAGAGTAAAGCCCTCTGAGGGGACAGCATGGTGCCAGCGGCGATGAGATGGCCTGTAGAGAACCAGGAGGATCGGGCCTCTCACGTCCACCTACCTGGCAACCACAGGTGCAGGCCTAGAAGACAGGGGTGGTGAAACCCAACCAGTGAGGCGCGTGCCGCTGGAAGGACACAGAGGTGACTAAGGGCAGGAGCAGGCCTAGAAAGGCTCTGGCTGCTTTGGGTGATATTTAAATAAGATGCAGATCACCATCGACTGGACATTAGTTTCCACTGCAGTGTTTGCAGGTGGAATCCAATGTAACCCCCCACTCCCCAGGGAATGGAGCCGGGAGGGTCAGAGAATGCGGCTGGGCTCTGGATCTCCAAGACGGGCGGGGGCCCAGAATAGACCCCCAGGTCTTTTCTGCTGCAATCTGGCTCTGCCCTCCAGCCTACCCTTTACTCCCAGAGAAAGAGACCAAGGGAGACCCCGCCCAGTTGCCCCGAAACGAGAGGGTGCAACACAGCAACACGCGGAGTTTGGCTGGTTAATGCAGGAAAGGGGCGGGGGCCGGGGGGAGAAGGATGGAGCAGCTGTCAGCATGGCACCTCCTCATCTTCAGGACGCCCTGCGTTTCCGCCAGGCTCCGGCCTGTGCCCTCACCCCTTGGAACGGCGGTGTGCCTGTCCATTCTCTCCGCATTCGTCTCCATCATTCAGCCACCACCCTACCCCTTCTCTATTCATTTTTACTGCTCCCCTGTCCTACCACCCGTGTGCCCTGGTCCATCCACCCACAGGCAAAGCCCCCCTCACCAGGGTCCTCCTGGAACCGTTCCTGGCTTTAGGCTTGTCGGAGACTCTCCGGTCCCGCCCGGCGGGCCACCGAGCGGAGGGGAGGGGAGGGGCGCTAGGACAACACTCTCCGCGCTGCGCAGCCGCACCCCTCCACGCATGGGCGTGGCGTAGCTCAGACCCGCCCCCCAGCGCCTGACGTCTTGCCGGTGTCACCCCTCTCAGATTTAATGTATCCTAAGCTTTTGGTCCCCGAGTTCCCGGCTGCCATGCAGCCACCCCACCCCCACCTTGCCCATTTTGGGGCTCGGCTGTCTGTCTCTGTCTCGAACAAGAACAGAACCACAAGGTTACATAATAATTTATTGAGAGCCTCCTCTCCCCACCCTTGCAGTCTAGGTCACTTCTTCCGCTTGTAGATTTTGCCTGCTAGTTCCAAGAAGACGGCTGGGGGGAGGGGCGCAGCGTGCTGCTCGATGAGACTCATGAGGTGGCTGTAACTGTCTTCCTCATACTGCAGGAACACAGCCTGCAGATCCAACTCCTCGTATAGTGCCTTCACCCGGGCCACCTTCTCCGCCTCCTTCTGCCCGTAATTCTCCTGGAAAGGGTTGGAGGGAGAAAAGTGGGCTTAGTGTTCCCCAGAGCCTCCAGGACCCCTCCCCCCACTCCCCTTTCACATGCTCCAGAACATCCCTAAGGCCGTTCCCTTCATTCCTGCCTCAAATTTTCAAGTGTCTCTAGGTATCTGAGATCCCAAGTTTCCCGTGCCCAAACCCATATGTTCAGATATTGGCTCAGTCCTCGCCTTCCTCTACTCCAGGGTTTCTAACCTTAGCACTATTGAAGTTTGGGGCCAGATAATCCTTTGTTTGCAAGAGCTGTTCCATACATTGTGCGATGTTTGGCAGCATCTTTGGCCTCTACCCACTAGATGCCTGTAGCACATGCATACACCCCACGGTTGTAATGACAAAAAAATCTTTGCTGACATTGTCAAATGTCCCCTGAGGGGCAAAATCGCCCTCATTTGAGAACCACTGCTCCACCCCTTATCAGCTCAGAGACCCACCACCTCTTAGGCACCTGCAAGATCTGGCGCTGTTCCGGAGTGGCGCGTTGCAGACACTGAACCACCAGCCAGCTGCATTTGTTGTCCTGGATGTCAGTGCCAACCTTGCCTGTCACACTTGGGTCCCCAAAGAGGTCAAGGTAATCATCCTGAGCAGGAGGACAGAAAAGGAGGAATGACAAGGCTACCAGGCAGGGAAGGAGGAAAGTTGGTGACTGTTCTCTGCTACTCCTCATGCCTTCCCACCTGAATCTGAAAGAACTCTCCCATCTCCAGCAGGATCTTCTTAGCGTTGGCATGCTCCTTCTCCCCATCAATGCCTGCCTACAGGGAAAAGGAGATTAATAAACCAAACCCCAGCAGTGCCCACATCTTGCTGCCTGCGCCCTGCCCGGTAGGGCGTCATGCCCTACTGCACCCCCTAAATCTTCTCTCCTTTCAGACATCCTCGGCTTCCCTGATCTAGGAAGTCCTGCCTTAGGGTCCAACCTCTACCCCACTTATTTTTGGCTAGGCCTTCCTGAGAGTCATAAAAGATGAATCCCTTCTGGAGGTCCTCAGACTCTCTCTGCCCTTGCAAGTCTCAGTCCCCGAGTCACTCTGATCCCTCTTCCTGATCTTTTTCTGCCTCCAGCTTCTTTCAGGATGAAATTTGGAGAAGCAAGGTCAAGGTAGATAGTTAATCGCACTGTTTTTGAATCCAGTCTTCTCTCTCTCAGCCTGAATTATCTCCTCCCCACCCCGTTCATACTCAGATGCAGGATCTCTTGTCCCCCTGTTTCGGGCTGAGCACTGTCACATCCCTCGCCTTGGTTAATCTCTACCGTCCTGTAAGGTAGGAATTTTATCCCCATCTTACAGCTAAGGAAACAGAAACCGATTTGCTCAAGGTCACGTGGCCATTCAGTGGGGGTGCCAGATTGTCCAAGTTGTCTGCTCTGCCTTCCTGCCCGAAAGCCCACATCCGCAGAGCAGTGAGGGGCAAGGACGCCGACTTACCATATACATGGCCGCAGCTACAGGAAGGTAGAAGGAGTAGAAAGCTGTCTTGTATTTGACAATAGATTTGTACCTGAGTAGGGAGAGAAGATGAACTCCTCAGAAGGGCAAGGCCTACCCTCAGCCCACCCTCACTGCCCAGACATGATTTCTACTGTCCCTCACCTCTTTTCGGTAAATCTGCCAAGTTCCACATTGCCCTGGGGAGCTGTGATAAGGTCCAGGGTCTGCCCGATCTCAGTCTGATATGAACTCTAAAGAAGAGGAGGATGGCCCATGAGCCAGGCTTTGTCCAGATGTGGGGAACCCCGACACCCTGGGCCCCGCATCTCATACCAGTTGACAGCTGGGCAGAATCAGAAAAGCAACAGGAGAGAGAAAAGGCCTCAAAACTCAAGGCCCACATTCGTGCATAAACAGTCCTTTCCACCCCTTCGTCCAGTCGCACAAGGACAGAGAAACCCTTCTTGCCACCACCACCCTCGCCACCCCCTTCCTTGTTTTCTTCCCCCTCCTAGGCAACCCTAGGTATCTCCTGTGCCCTGAAACCAGCTTGATGAGAATGCGCTATAGAGGCCACGGTGATGCGGACAGCCTCTGGGCTCTGGGCCCTGGGCCCCGATCTGTAGCACACCTGCAGGAAGAGCTCGATCAGGTTCAGGTAATAGGGCTGCTCCCGGCAATAGTGCTTCAGCAGGCGGTAGATACATGCCTCCAGAAGCAGAGCGTCATTGACGGCATCCAAACCTATGCCTGGCTTTTGGGGGCATGGAGGAAACAATGAATCTCTGGCTTAAACTCATACCAAGAAGCATTAACCCAAATACCTCATACATTCTGTATGAAACCACCTCCCAGTGGCCTGTCGCCATACCCACTGCTACCTTCCCACCCACATTACCTTCTGATACCAGCAGAGCTGCCCCCGGCGGGTTAGGGATGAATCCATGATGTCATCTGCTACCAGGAGGAAGGCTTGCAGCTAGGAGAAAGAAGAATGGAATAGGACCTACAGGGTTCCCTTGTTACTGTTCCTTCTATCAGCGACAGAGCTGCCGCTTCAGATAGTCACTATGAGCTGGGAAGGTCAGGATGGGGAGGCCGAGCACTTGGAAAGTGACATGACCTCTTTGGTTCAGACTCCTCATATACAAATTGGGACAAAATACTCTGTTTTAGGGGTAAGAGACTAAAACAGATCTCTGACATCTCTAATCAGCCCTAGATTATCCCTAGTACCAGGGAGATTATGAAATATCTTCATATACTGTATTCTTCTCTTATCAAAAACTTCAATGAACG